ATAATTCTGTGTGTATGTGTCTGCTCAAACATAAGGAGGAGATACGAAAGACGAATCAACTCGGTGTTCGCGTGCCGTCTGAAACTCGTCTCTCTGTGTGCGCGCGCGCTTTGCTGGTGTGCGGCAGAACGGAAGATACGCTGCGTGAGATACGGCTTGTGTGCGCGCTTCAGGTGCGAGTCTGTCAGACAGCAAGACGTGACAGCAAAGAGTTGTTTTCTGCAACTTCCATGTTGGGACCATAGAAATGTGTCAAACGTGTCATAATCAAATTTTCCTAGTACCATGGTTTTTATTGCTGTCGTTTTTTTTAGTTTTTTTTTTTTGTGTGTGTATATGTGGTCTTGTGGTAATAGTAACTATGAAAGAATAAAAGTAGCTTTCCTGCAGCTCAGACTGAAGAGCACTAGCAATCCGACGTCATGGGTTTGATTCTCTTAAACGAATCGAATGTAAAGCTTGAATGCAGTACAGGTTGCTTTGGATAAAAGTGTCTGCTAAATGTGGAATATAAATTAGGGCTGCACGATAAATGGCATGCGATTTATTTAATGCGCATCTTGTCAGTAAAGCCGCTTCTGTAATCAGCGGTAAATCTCCATCACGTGCGTGCTTTCACATGGAGCGGCATTTATTACACCGAGCTGTTGTTCACTGACAAGCTGCGCAAAACCAGAGTCATATATGAACGTATTGTGTGTGTGTGTGTGTGTGTGTGTGTGTGTGTGTGTGTGTGTGTATGTATGTATGTATGTATGTATGTATGTATGTATGTATGTATGTATGTCTGACAAGATGCGCATTAAATATCGCATGCTATTTATTGTGCAGCCCTAATATAAATGTAAAATTAAAGCTGCAACCCGTGTTGAAAGGGCCCTCGCACCTGGAGCCACCTTCACCCGGTGGCCTCAGGAAAACCGTGAACAGTGGGCAATATGCATTCAAAGTGGTAAATATATGAGGAATATGTCAAAGTCATTTATTGCTGTGGAATGCTTGATTCTGATTGGTCAGTTGTGACATTCTGAGGTATGATATCCCTCCATAACAACCGGTAAAAGCTGATAACACAGGCTCATCCGGGTAACTGAAATCAGCGCTATACTCTTGCTAGGAACAGTTGTGGAAGCTTTGTGTTTGTTTAGCTAATAAAATATTAAAACTCAATTCAATATTACGTGTACAATTATTTAATGTCATCCTGGTATGGCGGACTCACTCTCTCGTTTCATACTAACGCAGCTGCTGCCGTTTTGCGACGATTGTTTTGTACGCTGTTATGGATTATAGGATAACTAACAAACTGGTAAGATTTTAAAACATTTTCATTTTATAATAAGTGGTTTGACTGCACCGTATCCCTTAATTGTCTGTCTAGTTTGAACTTGCCGCTTGCTCGCAACTGCTGTGTTCACAGAAGCTTTGTGTTCAAATATTTCATCTGCGCTTCGCGTCGGGGTCCTGATCACCCTGTCGGGGGTTATTCTGCAATAACAACCGGCTGGATGTACATCATCCCTTACTTATATGTGCCAAACTTCCTGCTGCCAGTAGGTAGCGCTATGACTATAACTGAATATAGACATGTAGACGTCTTCAGGCCAGGACTCTTATCAATAGGGATGTAACGATTCACTCAACTCACGATTCGATTTGATTCACAATTTTTTTTTTTTACAAAATGAGATTTAAGACAAAATATAAATTAAATGTGTCCTTTTATTATTGCTTGTTATAATATTATTATAACACTGTAATAATTTACTACTATAATAATAATTCTAGTAGGCGACCGATATATCGGCCGATATTTGGCATTTTGCAGATATCGGCATCGGCCGATAAGTTTTCCTGTTTGGCCGATGCGTTCAAGGTGGGACTTTTATTTCGACGACGCTGAGCGCGGCAGTGCCTGAACACAGTGCTCACATTCTCCTCCCCTTGTTCGCTGTTGTCGTTAACAGTTCCGTCTAAATACGGATAGAACGGTTAAACAAAGGAATTCAAATGTATACAAAAAGCCTTGATTGCTTTTATATTATTAGTAATAGAAAGGCAAACATTATAATACTTTCTTGTTTGCCATCAGCATTTAGCAAATACGCATTTATATCATTTAAACAAATCTTTGAATGTCTAATAAACACATCTAATTTCACAAACCTTGCAAACTTAGTCGGATCCAGCTGTGAGATCTTGTGAAGTGTGCATGTGTATCCTGCATGATCACGTGTTCTACAATTTTTTTTTTTTACAAAATGAGATTTAAGACAAAATATAAATTAAATGTGTCCTTTTATTATTGCTTGTTATAATATTATTATAACACTGTAATAATTTACTACTATAATAATAATTCTAGTAGGCGACCGATATATCGGCCGATATTTGGCATTTTGCAGATATCGGCATCGGCCGATAAGTTTTCCTGTTTGGCCGATGCGTTCAAGGTGGGACTTTTATTTCGACGACGCTGAGCGCGGCAGTGCCTGAACACAGTGCTCACATTCTCCTCCCCTTGTTCGCTGTTGTCGTTAACAGTTCCGTCTAAATACGGATAGAACGGTTAAACAAAGGAATTCAAATGTATACAAAAAGCCTTGATTGCTTTTATATTATTAGTAATAGAAAGGCAAACATTATAATACTTTCTTGTTTGCCATCAGCATTTAGCAAATACGCATTTATATCATTTAAACAAATCTTTGAATGTCTAATAAACACATCTAATTTCACAAACCTTGCAAACTTAGTCGGATCCAGCTGTGAGATCTTGTGAAGTGTGCATGTGTATCCTGCATGATCACGTGTTCTCTGCGTGACGGTCGGTCCGTGTGAATTGAATGCGGACAGGAGAAGAGTTCAGCTTCATTGAGACGCGCGATCGACAAACTTTAAACTCATGATTTTAAATTATGCTGTGCTTTATGCATTTGCCCACTGTCATATTCGTGTCATTTTCACTGTGTGCTGTATGTAAAATGAGTGTTACCTTGGCTTTATTTGAAAAAATATAATTCCCAATGCACACAAACTTCCCAGAATACTGAGTGCCCTGTTGGTTACGGTTTACTTACTTTTTAATTAGATTTTTATTAAATATATTTATTTATTTGTGAAAAATACTTTGTCATCTAAAGTATGTTTATTTGACACATTTATTTTTTTTAATCACTTTTCAGATGATTTCAAATTTCTTAAATATGAATTAAAATAAAATTATATCGGCCACCCTGCTTTCCAAGGTATCGGCATCGGCTGTCAAAAAACCCATATCAGTCGACCACTAATACTAATATATCACTTGTATATTATTGCTCTTTTGTTGGTTTTGATTGCTTCTGTTGTCCTCATTTGTTAGTCGCTTTGGATAAAAGCATTTGCTAAACACCAAAATTTAAATATAATGTAAATGTAAATAACAAAACTAAATTAAAATTTTAAAACAAGCCCCAAATCAAATAAATAAAACAAATCTCTTCATAAAACAAAATAAGGCTTTGTGCTCTTTCAATTTAAAATGAGGCAACCACTGCATTTTAATCTTGATCCAAACAAAGATGCTGCATACATGCAACATGAGCAGTTTTTAATCTAAATTAGACTGTACTATTTCGAAATTTGAAGCAAAAACAGAATGGTTTGACTTAAAATAAAAATATCTGCAGAAACCGAAACAGCAGACGAGCTGAACGAGATGCAGATGCACTCTCTGCCAGCAGGTGGCGCTTAAAGCGTTTCCTGGTTTCCGCTGTAAACAAAGCAGCGCTGCACTTATGAACTTTAATATGCATTATACAGAGGCAAGATGAAAAGAAAAAATACCATCTACACTTTTCTAAAGACAGTAAGTTCCCCTTAGACATGCATTCATATAAACTCCTACTCCTAAATTAATCAACCGATTTGAATCGTCACATATTCGAATCGATTTTCAACCACTTATCAAACAAGTAAGTTAAGGCAGATTGGACAATGCATATTTTAGTTGGTGTAAAACATGACATTTCCTGTTGCCAGCAGGTGGCGCTGTAAATAATAACTGATTATTGGCATGCAGATGTCTTCAGGCCAGAACTCTTACCAAACATGGGAAGTTTCGTTGAAATTTTATAGGTGGCGCTATTGAGCCATTTTGCCACGCCCAATTCTGAAACCCTTATCGGATATAAAGCTTCGCCAGTCCTGACGCGTGTGCAAAGTTTCATGAGTTTTGGAGCATGTTTAGGCTCGCATACATTAGGGGAAGTTTTTAGATAATCCTCTCCAGTTAACAAATACTGAATCAAATAGTAGCTACAAAACTTTGGAGTCAGTAAGAGTTTTTGGTGAAACAAAGAAATTAATATTTTTTTTATTCAGCAAAGATTCATTAAGTCACATTAAAGACATTTATTAGAGTTATAAAATGTTTCTGTTTCAAAAAATGCAGTTCTTCTGCATTCAAATCAATTCAAACATCAGAGAATCCTGAAAAAAAAGTATCACAGTTTCCAAAACAATATGAAGCAGCACAACAGTTTCCAGGTCTGATAATAAATCAGCATATTAGAATGATTTCTGAAGATCATGTGACACTGAAGACTGGAGGAATAATGCTGAAAATTCAGCTTTGATCACAGGAATAAATTACAGTTTAATGTATATCAAAATAGAAAAACGTTATTTTACATCGTAATAATATTTCACAATTTTACATTTTCTTCCCCCTGTATATTTGATCAAATAAATGCAGCCTTGATGAGCAGAAGAAACTCCTTTAAAAAACACAAAAACATTTCTGATCCCAAACTTTTGACCGGTAGTGTATATATTGAATTTTATTGTTTTTGAATTACCAAAAATTGCTCCCCGTCAACTCAAAGATTCACACTCGTTAAGGATACATTAGTAAAAACCAAAATAATTTTGTTTCTTTCCTGCTATAGCAAAAGATCTCACTGTATTTCCGTGCGGTTTAACCCTTGTTGTTTGATTTCCTCTCACCTCTCTTTCAGTTGATATTCGGGAGATTAAGGAGATCCGCATGGGCCAGAAGTCACGAGACTTCGAGCGGTATGTGGAGGACTCGACCGCCCGGCCGGACCAGGCCCACTGCTTCGTCATCCTCTATGGCACAGAGTTTCGGCTCAAAGCGCTCAGTCTGGCAGGTAAATGAGAGCTCTAACAGTGTGCATCACTTCTGTATGGTACAATATAAGCTTAATGAAATCCAGTTTAACGATACTCACTCACACACTCACTCACACACTCACTCACACACTCACTCACACACTCACTCACACACTCACTCACACACTCACTCACACACTCACTCACACACTCACTCACACACTCACTCACACACTCACTCACACACTCACTCACACACTCACTCACACACTCACTCACACACTCACTCACACACTCACTCACGCACGCACTCACTCACTCGCATACACTCTCTCACTCACTCTCACTCACTCACTCTCACACACTCACTCACTCTCTCACACTCTCACTCTCTCACTTGCACACACTCACTCTCGCACGCACGCACTCACTCACTCACTCACTCGCATTCACTCACTCATTCACTCTCTCACTCACTCTCTCACTCACTCTCTCACACTCACTCGCGCACACTCACTCTCTCACTCACTCGCACACACTCACTCGCTCTCTCTCACGCACGCACTCGCTCACTCACTCGCATACTCACTCACTCTCTCACTCGCTCGCACACTCTCACTCTCACACTCACTCTCTCACTCTCACACTCACTCGCACACTCACTCTCACACTCACCCGCACACTCTCAGTCTCACACTCACTCGCACACTCTCAGTCTCACACTCACTCGCACACTCTCACTCTCACACTCACTCTCACACACTCTCACTCACTCACTCACTCGCATACACTCACTCACTCGCTCGCACACTCACTCGCTCACTCTCACACTCACTCGCTCTCTCTCTCTCACTCACTCGCACACTCTCACTCTCACACTCACTCGCACACTCTCA